AGGATGTCCTCCCCTGTGTGGGAACATTTTGATTTTATTCCTCCCAAAAAGGTATGTAAATTTCTACAGAAGATGTATTTTCATAATACTGATGGTGCAATGCAATTTATGTTAAGCTGTCTTTACTTTTGTACAAGGTGAAGTGTTTGCTATGTGCCAGAGAGCTGGGAAATATAACAACAACACCTCATCCATGCTTAGGCACTACAGAGCTTTGCATGAGAATAAGGGGAACACCGATTGTGGAGCAAGACCAGGTGAGCCATCAAATGCCATGATAATATAGCATGCAGTAATGTTATTAAAAGATATAACAATGTTATACAGCTGTTATAAGTTACGTGTGTGATATTTATATTTGTGCTTTGTTTTTGTTGTCTTTCCTCAGGAGAACAATCTCAAATTGATGAAGACCTGGTTAGCATGGTGATTGAGGACTCCCAGCCATTTAGCATTGTGGAGGACAAAGAATTTAAAAGATTTGTTAAATCATTAAATCCTAACTATGTTCTCCCCACTAAAAAGGTCATAAAAGCAGTGAAAATTTAGTTTTTACAGAATAAAATGTGGGCAGGACTGAGGCTCAAAGCCTCAGTGTGTAGCTGTCCATACCTCAACGTTACAAAAGCACAACCACTGTCCACACCCCAACCACACCTCACAGTAAATGATCATTTCCATTTTAAGCATTTCCAAATGATCATTTTCCATACTGCCAGTATAAATAACACAGTATACTGCCATCACTACAATATAGATGTTTTACACACTCCTTTTGTTGTTGACCTTTACAGGCTGTGTGCAAAAGGCCACACTCTTCAAATTCATGCCAACTAATATTTTTACGTCCAGTAGGTGTCCTACTAGAGCAAATGAAGCTTCAAGACGCTTTGCGCTGGGGTGAACCAATTGGATGAAAAGCTTCAGTGTTTCATGAAGCTTCATCTGCCCATCACTAGCTGTGTGGCAGGCAGGAGTTGGACCCAAAATGCAGGCACTCAGACTCGAGTGATGAACACAGAATGCAGATTTATTCGAAGAGACACAGACCAAAGGGGGAGAGAAAAGCACAGTAAAGCATGAGGGGGGAGCACAGCCATGAGGGGCTGGGAAAACATGGAATGAAACACAAGGAGGGGAAGCCCAATAAACTAAACAACTTAGGACCGATAAAATAACTCCAAGAATAACACACAAACTTAACATGAAACAGGAACACAGGAAAAACTAAGAATGCTGGATCCTGACAGTGACAGTTTTCTTGCGTCCACATTTTGGCAAATCCAACACTGAACCAGTTTCACGAAAATTAGCAAGCAGTTTGCTAACTGTACCATGGGAGATGAGTGGTCTCGTAGGGTGTCTTGCATTGAAATCTGCTGCAATGACCTGGTTACTGCGTTCACCAGATATCAACACAATTTCGATCCGCTCCTCACGTGTTAACCTCTTCGACATGTCAATGGCTGTGAACAAAGAGAAACTTGTAAATAACTCATGAAAGAATAAAGTTACGTTGAAACCAAGCACACCATTGTTTTTCTTGTGACATTACCAATACGTTTGATGTGTCACATGACCCTCTTCATATTGAAAAAACAAAAGTTGTATCCAAGATGGCTGACTTCTAAATGGCCCCCATGGTCACCACCGATCTTGAGAAGTTTGCCCCCTCACATATACTAATGTGCCACAAACAGGATTTTAATATCACCAACCATTCCCATGTTATTACGGTGTATCCATATAAATGGCCCACCCTGTACATCTGGATAATGACACAAACTAGTGTATGGCGCTTCACCTTTTAATAAACCAAAAGACAGAAATCAGATTATAGGATCTGTGGTGTTGTTTATTTATATTATAGTACTTATCATTTGTGATATTTATTACTGTCTGCATACCTTACTAGGAGAGATGAGATCAAAATGTTGCCAGATAGGGGTAAATCTACTCTTCATTGCTAGAACCATCTATTAGGAAAATATATTTTCTAGTGCTTATTTGTTGTGTATTTTGTTTTATGCATTTAATAACAAGCCAGTATATTAGAGACCACTTTTCAGTTATAAACTGTGTCATAGGCAAGACTGAAACTATGGACAACAGGAAGCTTTGTGCAGAGTTTCAGAGAGCATTGCCTGTGTTTGTGCTGCTAAAAGAGAACAACAGGAAACAGTGGGCAAGATGCAGTTAAGATAGATTTCTAAGCAATTGCAGAAAATCACCAAAAAAGGAATTGTCTAACTGTCACTAACGGTAACTGATGCATGTATCTGCTTACACATGAGGGGGCGTGAATCGTGACATATAAAACAGTATGATCTGTGCTTCCTCTTTGAGATCTACGCAGAGGGTGACGTTGTGTACATCTCCCACATATGTGTTAATAAATAATTGTTGTTGACTGGATCTGCTCTGTGTATTGGTTGTTTATTCTCAGCACATTTAAAAAGAATCGGGACACATCGAGGAAGAAATGCTCACGTAACTATGTAACATGTACGTAATCCAATTCCACATCACGGTGGAAACAGGAGAGAGGAGACGATTATATCTCGACTGAGATTTGGACACACTGGTTTAAATAGCACATTGTTTTTAATAGGTAAACACTGTACAGGGGAGTGTGACTGCAGTAGGGAACAGGAAACAATAGAACATGTTTTCTTGAATTGTCAGAGGTATGATATTGAAAAGAGACAACTGATCAAAAAGCTGGATGATCTGGAAGTGAAGTTGGACTTGATTGATTGTTTTGCACGACCTCTATAGGTGAAAGTTATCAGGCTGTATTTTGGTTTTTAAGGCAGACCCATTTGTTCTGGAGAATTTGAATTTTCTTTCTTTCTTTCTTTCTTTCTTTCTTTCTTTCTTTCTTTCTTTCTTTCTTTCTTTCTTTCTTTCTTTCTTTGTCATTTCGGTCCACACTCCACACCAGTTGGTGGCGGTAATGTACCATTTTGCTATTTGCCAACCTCCAGTAAACCCTATACAGAAGAAGAAGAACACATCACTTGTCAGAGGAAACATGGCGGAGGTCAGGAGTTGTTTTGGAAGGAGGGCGCACGATTTCTTACACAAATTAAATAACTACTGCCTACGTGCCAGCCACAGTAAACACGGGAAAGGTGCCTCAGACGGTTCGCCTTTGCCAGCAGGGCTTCTTTGGTTTGATAGTCATAATGGTGGGCCGTATGGAGCCAAAGACGCCGCGGACACAGACCGTGCTCTAGCTTCTCGGGACGGTTACACAAGTGTAAAGCCGGTGCTTGGTGCTCTTTGGGAGAACGGAGCGGTTGCAGAAAATTACCATTACTGTGTTCCCGAGGAGGTTTCTCTTTACAACAAGAACCAGGTACAAAGAGAAAACAGGAATCTGTCTCGACGGTGGAGACGCACCGGGTTTTGGAGGACTTCGCCCCGCACTTTCCGCCGACAGCACAGCCCTTATAGTCAGCATTTGTACTGGCAACACGGGCAGCGGTCATTTATCAGTGCTTACAGCGGTGATGGAGCCAGATCCGAGCCTCTTTACAAAACCAAAACTGGCTACTATGATATCCTTGGAGTGGCACCTTCCGCCACTCGAGCCCAGATAAAAACAGCGTACTACAAGCAGTCCTTCACCTACCACCCGGATAGAAACACTGGCAGCGAAGAGGCCACAGCCTTGTTTTCGGAGATCAGCGAGGCCTACACCGTGCTGGGAAACAAGGGGCTCAGGAAGAAATATGACCTGGGACTATTGAGTCTGGCAGACCTCACCGCCACAGTCAGGCCTTCAGCCAAGGACACGAGCGGGAGCGCAGGCAGACGGCAAACCGACAGCCGACGCTCCGTGGTGGACCCAGACGGCCGAGGAGGCATCTTTGATTTCGACCAGTTCTACAAGTCCCACTACAGCGAGCAGCTGCAGAGGCAAAGAGACATCCGAGTCCGCAAAGAGGAGATACTGAAGAAGAAACAGGACACTATAGGCGAGAAGGAAATGGGCAAGATGATGGAGCTGGGAGTTGGTATGCTGCTGGTGGTAGCCATAGGTATACTAATGAACTTAAAACGGGGATGAATACGTCTGCTGGGAAACGAGGGAAACTCCACCACTGATCACAGTATTAAACATTTCACCTCATTTTAAATCAGGTACTTGAACTAAATTGTCATGAAAATAAACGGCAACAAGCATCCATTGGTTAAAGCTGGTGAGGATTTAAGGTTTTTCGTTCAAATGTGTTGTTAAAAATAGCTGATTCTGGAGCTTTGATCAGCAAAACAAGTTATATGTGCAACATGCACATTTGCTGTTTGTGAATGCATCATATAGAAGAGGTTAAATATGACAAAAAATAGAAATCACTTGTGGTCTTGGTTCATCCTGTATTACCTTTTGCACAGCAGCGCTTCGGTGGTTGGTTTACAACCGTTCACTTCAGCTCCTTTGGCTTTAATAAAGTCATTTGTCTGGTAGAAATTATACAAATGTTAATGACAAGCCAAGCTTCAATGGTAATGTGTTGCTATTTATGACATATTTATAGTAATATAAGTAAAAGGTGTGGTAATATCTTGAAAGTCCAGCCAAAATGGGCATTAAAGCAACTTTATGGTTAAAATCAGATGGTTATTTTTAAAGAATGTGCCTTTGATTATATTTATTGTGAAATTACTGGGTATATTTTTTCAGATATTTAATGAATAAAAGACTTATGGGCACTGTTTGTGTTGCCTCTTTTTATTTGATTTTGTCAATGCATGTAGTGTTTTTAGTGAGAACAGATTTTAAAACATAAAAATAAATATTAATTACATGAAACAAGCATATGTATGTCCATAGATCACACGATTACAATGAATACTGTACTGTATACTTAAAATCATATTTAAAGTAGAAGCCTTCTTAAAACAACAAATACTTACAGCACATGTATTGCATTTAGAAATTCACACACATCATCACATTTAAAAGTAAACAAGTCATATCAGTGCATATTAACAATGAACTCAGGTCAAATGAAACCTGAAGTGAATCTACACTCAAATGCAGTTAACATAATAATGTATTTTATAATTAAAAGTGCTTACAATACAAACAACACAAGAATCTGTTAAATAACATCACATTAGCTTATTCTCGCAAGTCAGTCTTGCTCACTTGTTACCGTGTTTCTTCAGTCTGTGAAACTAAACATTTTCCCCCTTTTCATGAAAAATATTACCTCATTTTGAATTTGATGGCAGGAACATGTAACAATAAAAGCCACGGGGGCAACAAAAGGTGGAAAAGTAAGTGGTTATTAAAAGGAAACAGCTGGAATGAAACAGGAAACAGTTCTCTAAACTGTGGAACAATTTCAGAATAATGTTCCTCTGTAAAATTATGAAGACTGTCTCATCATCTACAATACATAAAACAGACAATCTGGTGGATAAACATGACTGTTCCAACTTTCCTAAGAAATGATGCTGCCATCCAAGTAAAAATGAGCTCGTCTTGAGCTAATCGTACATTTTCTCAGTTTAAACATTTGATGTTTTCTAAGCTCTACTGTGGATAAAATGTGTTTTTAATGCAAATCACAGCATTTTGTTTTTAATCTACATTAACACGATGTCCCAACTGTGTGTGTATATCTGATCACTAACAATGTCTGCAGACCCACAGGAAGGTGTGTGTCTTTCTTCAGATAACGGGGTTTAGAGCGTCATAGAGCCGCTGCACCGCCAGTTCCACCATCTCTCTGAGCGAATCGTCCTCTGTGCATTCATCTTCGTAGCACACAGACTGGTGAGGGGATAAGAAGTCAGCGACATACTCAAACACCAAATCAGCAGCTCCCACTAACAGGACAAAAGACCCTCACCCTTGTTTTCAAGCAAATGTGCACCGTCTTCCCGTCCACAGTCACAGAGATGATTTTACCATCGCTGAAGTTCACGCATTCTTCTCCAAACATGTCCCTGAAAACAGACAGCAGACAAATAACATAATTCATTAAGAGCTTAGCAACTATTTATCCGAGGAACTTCATTTCCATAAAAATATTCATGCTACTGCATTATAAAAATGTTTTATGAATTTATTCTGTCACTTACTGCAACATGACTTCTAGCCGAGTATGGAAAACATCCATGTCCATAGTGCTGCTCTGGGTCTCCATCACTGCTCATAAGGCAGAAAGCAGATCACTGGCATTAACCAGATAGCACCCGCCTCAAACTTACAGCAGCAACTAAACACACGTGTACACGTGCTTAATGGCGCTTTGTTAACTGTGTTTAAAAGATGGATGTAACATCAGCTGTGTCCCATTTCAGGGTCTGCGCGCTTGAAGTACGCATTTTAAGTGCGGTTACGTCACCGCCACGCGACAACGGCTGTCCCAATTCTAAGTGTACTTGAAATGCATACTCCAAATGCGCCGTCGATTTCCCCAAATATCAAGCGTGGTCCGGTGCACGCTTCGTGGTCCCATATATCCCACAATTCATAGCGCAGCGGTGGGTGTGGATAATTTTGCAGCAAAATACGGCAGAAGGGAGCGGCCGAAAAGTGAACTGTCAAAAGTAAGTACTGAATATGACGT